ACGATTCAACGATCTCTGTGAAACATTCGATTTTTCTAAAACTGGCCTCGCCGATCGATAAATGATATTGTTCAGTTATATAATAGCGCAGACGCTGTTTAATGTCACCGAGTGACCTCAGATTTCCCTCTTTCATTCCGAGAATCTATCCGCCGACGAGAATCTTCTTGCTCAAGGCGAACCTTAGCGGTAATAATTAACATCCTCATCATCGGTGCAGGAGGACGTTCAAATAGATTCCGCGACGGATAGACATAACCGTGATATAACCGAAAAGCCTCGAGGCCGTGCCAAATATAGACACGCATACACAAGATCATTCCTAAATGCCTTGCAGCGGATATACATTGAACCCAAAAGGATCCCGGAGAAGTTTGTGGAACATACCGTTGCTGTGATTACAGCGATATATATAGATTTATCAAACGTTTGCAAAATTATCTATGTCAGAATGCTGCCTCATTAAATGCTCGATGCATTCGGTAATCGCGCATTCCGTCGTCCAGAACCAATTTGTCGTCAATCACGTTGATCGTTAGAGAACATTACGTATCTGTAACTGCGATGATAAAATTGTAAATGAATAAAGGAAAAACTTAGAGGGAAGAAAATTCGCGATTTTACAACGCAACGTGAGAGTAGCCGATGGCGAGAAAGTTGCAAAAATGGTTAATGACGAAGTTGGCCCAAGCCAATTTAGAAAGTTACGTTTCCCGTCAAAAGACGACAATCCGCAGAAGTTGGACAACCGTGTAAAGGAACTTTTTAAAGAGCTCGGTCGTTTGTCACGGTATATGACAAACTCCCTTTGAAAGTTAACGCGGATGATAATCAATTTAATTGTTACACGGACCAGAGGTGGGTCTGTGCGATATAAAATCGACGTGTTTTTATTTCACAAATTTAATTTTAATTTAAACGCTCGTTCGGAATGTTTTAGGGAAAAATAAAAGCATTAGCATAGAAATTTTGCAATTGATCGGGTCCGTTTGGACTGTCGTTAAAATCGAATTGTTCAGCTCGGCGGCCACACGGCGAAATTGGCCGTGAACATTCGACGTAACAAATTTTTCAAATGCGATTCACACGCTCAAAGCTATTTTCATTATTTAAAACACATGATGAGAGAGAGAGAGAGAGAGAAAGAAAACTTACTTATAAAAAACTTACTTATCTATTTTAGCGTGTGTATATATACATGTAACAAAATAGATAAATTTATTAAATTTTTACATTTTTTTTTTATTTCATTTCATATCGCTTTATAATTTCAAATTAAGTGCATTCTTAATCACGAATGCTTGCAATTTTACATCGAATGAATTGAATGTGTGTAAGATAAATCTGCATATACTACAGCATGGTACACGCATGTGCGTACGAAGCAAACAACAAAGGCCTATAATCCAACTTTGGAGCGCGTGTTGTTCCGGCTGTGCAGACGGAAGTTCATGCGCGCCGTCAGTGAAATTGGCCGAAAACTTTCGGTATTTTGGCGTACGCGTACGGGTAATTCACTCGCGTCCGCTCGCGTATTGACCTCGGAAAATGTGTGCAGCATCGCGAAAATGCAACGATATCGACGTTGAAATGTGGTCGTCCGACGGACGTACAAAACGGGACCAAAAAATCGCACGGCGCATACATCGATGCGCACCAATACTTTCCTCGCTTCCGGCTGCGTCAACCGAGATACCGATAATGAACGAAATCACATGGGACATGTAGACCTGACGCGAGCCAATTAGCCGACTGTTTCGTTTTGTCCCGAAAATGACGGCACGTCGGATGAAGTAGGGGAATATAACGAATGCAACGAATTGCATTAAAGTACGAGAGCGGATTGCGTTAGAGGCGAAAAAAAACTCGCTCGCCGAATTCTCGATCTTATCGATCTCGCGCCGCGTATCATTTGCCGCATTCCGACATTTCGCGATTGACGAAGTCATCTATAATTCAAATAAGAATAACGCCAGCATTTTATGGCGTAAAAAAAATTTCTCCAAAAAAGTGTTGACGCGCCGGGTCGCTTTCTTACTGTTTACTTTATGCTGGAATTTGAGTTGTCGGCACGTCCGGTGTTGAACTTCTCACGGTCCATTTCGATTTATAGCCCGACCGAGTACGATAGGTGTTATTTGGAGAGTGTCGTGGACAGTGATCGGATCACGTATATATAGGAAAGGGATAACGTGGGACAGAGGAACAGAGAGAGAGAGAGAGAGAGGACGGGGGGGGAGGAGGGGGGGCGGGAGGGAGGAAGAGAGAAATTGTTCAGTCCCACCGGCTCGGCCCTAATAACCTAGGAACATGAAGACAAGTTATGACAGCCGGTGTTGCAGCCCCTTTGGTGGGCCGCAATTGCGTGGGCGACATGTGCCATTGTTCAAACAGTGCAGCCCTGCACCTTCTATTAGCACCGGCCGTACCGTCCGCCGACATTCCTCTCTTCGGCCAAGGTGACGACCGCGCTCGGTATATGCTCGTCATCCATGCGGCTGCCTCGAATACTCCAGGTCTTGGAAATAGTTCTGACTGCGAAATGACTTCATCTTGCGAGCTAGAAGCGCCGGTAGAATCCGGTTGAAAGATCATTCGTTTCCTCCGCGGCCATTAAATCGATTTGCGTCTGTTCCGAGCTGCTTAAATCCATATTTATGAGGAAGGGAGCAATAAATATTCCTCACACGTAGCAAGTTGTTCCGTTTGGCTTATCGTTCGTATCAGTGAAATGTATAATTTGCCAATAGTCGAAAAGCACCGATATCCCCGTAGCGTTATAAAGAAAGAAAAAGGTAAAAAGGGAAGGAACCAAGAATTCAGGATAAATCTGCAAGAAAAAGCAGCTCCTTCGCGATCGTATCTCCGAGCTGCTGACGATTAAATCTGCAAACTGACTCGGAATCGCGGTCTTTCATTGCTCCAACCTCGGTCATGAAGAAGGAATCTCTAACCCACCGCCATCTCAGTTAGGGTAGTTTGATGCGAGGTAGTAAAACGTGACTTTACTCTGGAAATAATATCGGCTATAAAGTTGGAGATAGTAAGGTAACCAATGTCTGTTCGAAAAGTCAATTCTGACGGTGCTTTAACCTGATAGAAAATACTTGCGATGCTCGTGCGATTTTCGCACGAATTGTTACGCTGTTTGTCGCAATATGCAAACGGTACCAGAGATTACAACGTTTCGCGACACTCAAATTGCGAAATTGCAACGCTTAAGTTAAAATATAATTAACTGTTTATGAAACAACGTTTATTAAAATGACATTATTCCACAGAGCGCGATGGCTTACGAGTTTTATAAATGACAATGTATATATACGATATGCATAAATTATAATGCACGAGTAATAACGGTATTCGTAGTACATCGTTACCCGACAGTTGCGATGACACGCGTCCAGGAATTTAACTTCCACTTGCAGTTATGAATCCTTAGAGGAAGTCTAGCAAGCGTCTAATCTTCCATCTGGCTCTGCACTGAGTGAGCAACAACACCTGATTGATGTTGCAGCATTAGTAGCCGACGGTGATCATAAATAAAAGCGTTGTAAGCTTACGGTGTAACCTTATCACAGCATTCGCTCGCAGATTACTGTGTGCGGCACTGCTACATTACTTATCCATTTAATGCAAAAATTAATTTTACAGCTTTTTCCCCAACGGAGATTACATTATTTAGTAATAAAGAAACGCGCAAGATTATTAATGCTCTCCATTCCATCTATCGTCTAAGTTTTTATTTATCATTAAAACAATTACCGTTACACATACGGCGCAAAATAATTCACAGTCGTACTTTCAAGTTCAACATTTTCAGATTCGTCCTGTTAACTAACTCCGGATAAAAAGAAATCGTTTCGTCGTTCCTTCAATATCGACTCGGTAGAATTACCGAATGAAAGTGCTTCTAATACGCACCTGCTCTCTACATCAGCAGTACGGCCGTTTTACTAACAGAATGGTCGTAATTCCAGTCGGAGTTAGTATTACACGAACGTGCTCCGAATAAAGCAGAATCTTCGCGTATTGACGCACGATAAATAATCCGTGGAGCCCCGGCGCGCACCATTATTCCGTGACCGTAATACATCGCGCGCATATATTGTAATATAATTTGCATTAAATTGCAACTACTTTCTACATTGAAGTTAAGCACTGTAGCATCAAATGCAATCGCTGCTAATTTACAATTCCATTGCATTACCTTCATAATCAACGTTATCGTTCGTGTAGGTACATGGAAACTATTAAAACATTCTTCGATGCGTCAAAACAGCATTAAACCTTCGAAACGTTACTGGCAATCGAAATCAGATTTTATCCGATATTATAATAAATTCGAATTCATTTCGAAGAGAGATTTGATATTGCGTAAAAATAAATGGCGCGCGCTCCCGAATAGAACGGCGCATTTGTGATCATCCGTGTTAGCACTGAAACATTAAAGATTTTAAATTGGAGCCGATTGATTAAGTTATGGGACCCACGTCATATGCTTCAAGGGTTAGAAATATTTAATTTCTCGCGTCCGGGATCATTTAATGCTGCTCTATCCTTGCCTCTGCCAGGTCACGTGGCAGCCTCCAAACGTGATATAATTACCAGTCCATCTTCGGAACGTCTATCTCTGTCTAGGCACCGCTAGAGGCCGGAACTCAAATTGAATCAATCAAGCTTGTATCTGAGCACGTATGTTGCTAATCGATTCGATTCATGTTTCGCCTACATGGAATTTCAACTATCTACCAAAGGATTCATTTGTCTGTCGGTACATAGACACGCGGGCACACGTGTGCTAATGATTATTGTGTGTACAGACATGATCATATTTACGAAATAATAAGCGATAAGTGTGTGGAATAATGATTCACTTTACAGATGCACAATTAATGATAAACAATTTATCGCTATTAATAATTCTCGATAATATTTTTGCTATCGAACAAAGCGAATAAAACAAATACTAAGAGATGTGTTCTTTTTTTATATTGCAGGTGATGAGAGCGACACATTGCGGGGGTTAAAGCGCTTGTCGAGAAGTGGCGAGGAAGTGGCGAGGTTCGTAAAAATCGGCATCGGGGGCGTACGATCCGGGCAGCGGTAGTGGTGGCGGATCGGCAAGGGTGAGCAGATTTTACTTTACGTCAATAAGAAAACAAAGTAGGATAAGACTGGATAAGCGAGTCAGATCTCGTTTAAAGCTCGCCAGGCATTGACTACTCAGATTCGGCCTCATTTTCACTAAAGCGATGGATATCCGGCTAATCCACTGTCTTATCTTCTCGCTTTTACATACAGTTTATCCCTATTAGATTAAACGTAATGCTTAGAAGCTTAACGTTTTTACCCGAGCTTGATGCTATCGGGAATCATTTAATCGTGTCTCGCAAATTGACGCATGCAAGTCGCATTTAAAAATTTAAGAAAGAAATAAAGATTAATGTTACTTTCCCTTTTATCACGAATGTCTTTCTTCGCGTATAAGAAAGACATTCGAATTTTTATGTATTTAACTCTTTTATTATCACTTTGTGACAATCCGTTTCTTTTCGAAGTGGGCGGTCCTATAACTTTCGGTTCCTCATTCGCGAATATTCTTGGCTTGTGCGACATATTGAGCGACGTGTTCTTTAGCTGGCCATAGCTCACGGCTTCCTTCCACGGGGAGACCCCGACCGACGATTGTTACCGGCGCGTGTGCTGTAGCTGTAACGCGGGCGTCGACCGCTTATGCTCGTAGGTACTATGGGAGCGGGGGTATGGGGGGCGGAGGAGGGCTACAAGCCACGGACCTCCGGCGAAGGCACGAGTTCCAGTGTACCGGAGGAACTTGTTCGCAGGGTCTGCGGTCCCTAAGGCACGACAGCTACCATGCTACCGAGGAGAACGCCGCATGTGACGACTACGAGGACAGGTAAGTTATCGGGACACGTGGTCCCGATGATTAAGTCGCACATTGAGCGCTTTACACCTTCTTCTTGTGATTATTTTGAATATAACATCTAACTAAAAAAGTCAAACAACAAACAAAGTAAGCTTTAAATTTATTAAAATAATTTTAAATCATTTTTTTATTATATCAATATCAATGTGACACTTTGTATGTAAGGGGAAAAAAATAGGTAAATATAAAAAAATGTTTGAAAAATCGAATAAGAAGATCCTTATAAAGGCGGCTCCATAAATGGTCGATAAAAGAAGACGATAAGTGTTGGGGCAAAAATCGCTTATATAGTGAAAGAACGACTTCCACTTAGGAGGACTGACCACGAAGCGATCCTCGCTTCCGGTCAGCCCACCTGCACAAGCTGCCGGCGATCGTATAGGCGCCAGGAGAGCGAAGCGGTTGAGAAAAAGGAAACTCTGAAGCGACGCATGCCCGAGTCGGATGGGATCGGTGCGGTGTACCGGAAGCTGCGGCTTTGTCTGGGCCTTTTCAAGCACGCGAGTAGAAACGATGAGGCGGAAGAGGACGACGAAGAGAAGAGGCATCGGTTACGGTGGTGTCGCAGGGGCTTCCGACGAATCGTGGAAGTGGCGACAAGAGCTCTGCTCCTTGGCATCGCGCTTCTCGTCACGCCAGGCAAGTATGCTTTCACAGAGCTCTCCTTTCATAGACGAAAGCTCATAAGATACGAAAATATGTTTTCGAAAATATATTTTCTATATAGGATTTATTTGTTTTTATAGGATTTATTTATTTCTTCGCGTACTCGCGAGGAATTCTCTTGGGAAATTTCCGTTCGGACATCTCGAATTATAATGGAAACCTAGAACTTTGTATTTTCACTTGATAACTTAGTCGCCAATACCGTTGTTACTATTATTGCGTTACAACTTCGGAACTGTGATAACGCGAGGTCCTGTCGCATCCGGGAATCTCTTCATTTGTCCGCCGGCGCAATCACGCCAGTCTCGCGTTCGTTCCTCAATTAGCGACGACCGCAAATTAGAGTTCGCTAGTTGGCGGGGACATCCGAATGGTCGCTAATGCCGTGGCACCGTATCTCACGAAACGGATCGTTGGTTCTCAAATCCGGCGGACCATAGACGAACACCGGGATGGAGAGGTTGCGGCGTGTAATGGGACGTCGACTGAGATCGATAAATGAAGCGAAATAAGCCGGCCGCGTGATCAGATAATGGGTATCGGGCGAGAGAATGCCAAGTGCTTGATCTCCTTCCCCGTCGGGAAAGACGAAACGAATGGCGCAAGATAAGCTCAATTTTCGCGACTGTCTTGACTTTCGAAAGTAACTGCATACTCTGAGAAAATCACTTTGCAAAGGCAACGCGACTGAATACGTTGCTGCAGCAAACTTAAAGGATTCAATTTGTAAAAAAAAAAATTGTATCTCACAACTGCGTTTTTGTTATTGGAAAATTTAATATCATTTTGGTTGCACACTCATTTCAAGATTGTCTTTTTATTTTGTAATGTAAGAACAACGTACGTCTCGCATTATATTATTAAGAAACTAACAAATTACTGCTATCGTCACGCGTGACAACGTAATTACGAAGGTCCAATTCATCACCGTTTTTATCGCCGACAGGCACATCTGGCTGGATCGTGAACTTCATTCAAACTTACAATCTCAAACATTCTCTTTTGACATCATGCAGCGCACGATTCGCGCGTTTCAATTGAAAGATTTTTCCGTTACAAACTAGAGGTGTGAATGCACCATAAAAAGAGAGACTGAGACTCTTTTATCAGTGCTTTGAATTGGTTTTAATATAGCTTAGCGGTCCGACAGAAAATGATCCTCGGACAAATAGAGAACATACAGGTAGAACATGCGAAAGAATATACAGGCAAAATAATTTTAACATTATATAATAATGATATTTATACGAATTCCGTAATATTTTGAAATATATGATACTTGCGAAGAATTAATTAGATTTACATTTTGAAGGAAGTACATCGAATCACGAAGTCATCATAAAAATTGCAATTTTAATAAAATGTACAGCTAGTACAGCTTAGCGTAAAATCGCAAAAGAGAAGTGCTTTTACACTTCGCGGATCGCGTTCTGTTTTTACAATTATTCCGGCTGAAGTGACGCTTTAAACCACGAGAACCTTAATCACGCTGTCGCAATGAAATTACTGACGAAAAGTAAAAAATAAAATGCGTGCGACGCGTCCGCGTTTCAGATTGTTTTTTTTTTTTTTCCACGTATACGCACATTATATGAGAACCCTTATGACGCTCGTTGCTCTCATCAGTGCAAACAATTTCATTAAAACTCCTGCCTCTCTCGCGAAGACTCATTCAAAATATATGCTTGACTGCATTAACAGCACGCATGCAACCGTAATATAAAAACTCGCATTATTCTGTAATTTAAATACGCATGACTTTGCTACTGCGAAACAAAAAAAAAACAATATATGTATATACGTAATTAATTGCAACAATTGCGATGATTGTTTATTCGGGGAACGTAATTTCTCTTTTATTTTCGCGATGTGGAAAACTTGTTACCGAATAGCATTGCGACGGTTCGTTTCAGATGAAATGTTGCACATGGGAAGCGGCAAAAAGTGCATGCAATATGTGTACGCGCTGAAACGCTGGATGCAGTTGGAAATGCTTATCATAAATAGAATAAATAATATCAGGACGGTGTTGCCGTGAAGTGTCGTTTTTAATCAAAATCGTAACGATCAAACGCTCCAATTAATAATGCTGCGGTTGTTGCCAAGGTGGGCTTCATTAATTTTCGTGGTATGTACATTTTACACTCGCGCATGTAGGCGAAATAAAATTCGCGTCGCACATGCAATAAATGAAATAAATTATTTAAAATATCCGAAATGAAATAATTGAAATGGAACACGCATTTTTGTACGGATTCCTTTAATTAAATTTTCCTCCACTTTCTCACCGCACTATATCATCGCATTAACATTTCTATGTTTAATTGAGTTGAACATATTTCCGCCGCTATATTTAAGAATAGCATGTAATATCGTGATATCGAAACGGGAAATGTAGTGGGACAAGCTGCTCCTCTTTTTAATGGCTTCGCCACGAATTATCACGATAAGTTTCTCTTCAGCGTGTACAATGGCGTGTCCCAAACAGGATGCATAACTCTATAAATTCCATGTACTTTGTTACTGGTCGCATATATGCACGTGTGTGCGTGCATTGTAGGGATGAACGATTACGATTTCTTCCTCATAGCGGCCAACAAAGCGTCGCGAATAGCGACCTATCAGACTAATTGTAAACGGCGTGATGCCGACCTGGAGAATGCGTTATCCTTGATAGAGCCCATTGCACATGGAAAAATCACAAATCGATCGATCGATAGGCCTCAAGATGATACTCGACGACAATACGACCGAGCACGATCGATATTTCGCATCGTTGTCGCCGGCAGACGATGTAGAATACCGAGATTCCGCGCCGATTTCCGCTCGCGTTTTTACGCGAATGACGTTGCAAATCACGTGTCGTTGCACGGAGGTCTGCATCATCGTCAGTGATTGCATTCCTTCTCTGGCGATTGAATTTTTAACGCGCGTTATTTTCGCGCGCGATATTATTAAATCAGCGAGTTTACGATGCAGCCGTTAACAACGGGGCACGACGGGCGGATAAACATGCGTTTTCCGCGTTTCCGTCTGTTTCCGGAGTTTCCCGCGCGCGAAATGAAAATCGTAACGGCGCGCGTAAAGTCGATACTTAGTGAAGAGCCCACGAGGCCGGGGGCTCTTCACCTCAAAGAGATAGTTCGCGATCTTTCTCGAGAGAGAGAATTTTCGCGTTTTACCGTCGAACCCGAGCTACACTTACCGGTTTCGTTTATACGAAATAATTAAAACCTATCTTTGAATCCTGAGCTCATTAAGGTAATAGTGTACTCGTTAGCTCCGCTTAATTGTTCTTCCTTGCCGCCTCATCCAATTGGATGCCTCGTGCGCGCGGAGCCGCCTCAACACACACCTGGCTATTTAGCTTACACGAAGTACGAGCTGATGGAACGGCTCGCTAATTTCACGCTTCGCCGCTATCTGAAAATTCGTTGGCAAAGATGAGGAGGAGCTGCTTCGTACGCTTTGTTTTAACGTTCCCGTGCTTTCCTGATGAACTCCAACAGCGAAAACGTATCAAAATACATTACACTTTTGCATATATTCTTTAATAAAAAATTATGGATTTAATATATTCTTTAGTAAAATGGATTTAATATATTCTTTAATAAAAAATTATGGATGACTTGCGCATAAGGTTATACTAATGTACTTATAATGTGTGAATTATTTTGACGAGTTACTTGAAGATATATACAATATTTAAATTTTATAACACAGAATTTATTAATATATCTCCACTGAGAAAAAGAGAGAATCTAAAAGCGAGTTTTAATGCAATCTCTCGTTTCAGTTTGGAAAAACAGGAACGAGATATTTTATTTCGAAAGAAAATGTTTCATACCGCGGAGAGATAAACGAAATTTTTCGCGTTTCGCGTCCCCCGTAAGCAACTACATATATTCGCCGCGGAACATTCAAATGAATTGCCCAATCTGTTTATCTCGCCGGAAATTGCGAAATAAAAGGCGGGTTGCCAAAATTACATGGATATGATTCCGTCCCTCATCCTCCCCCTCTCCCCTTCCTCCCTCCCCGGAGTTAACGGGCTGCGAAACGGAAAAGTCTTTGCCGCGCATAAAGAGAATTTCCGCGCCGGTTGTCCGCTCCTCTTTCAGATCTTCCGATGATTGGATAATACGACTTGACCGCGTTTTTCCCTCGATCACAAAGTTGAGAGAAAAATAATTCCCGGCGCGTCCGTCTCGCGTGCGCGCAAATTATTAACGCGCGAGATTTATCACGCGCGCCGGATCGGCTTGTACAAATCGAGCGATCTGTGCTGATATCACGACGAGAAATATATAGGAAACACGCGATTATCGCAATTAGATCGGCAATTTTGCATCACCGAGAGACCGCCGTATCCGTCTGGCTGGGTTTCGCGACAACGTGTTGCATAAACCCCTGGAAAAATATCCGCCGCCGCGCATATCAATATTTTAACATTTACGTATTTCTCTACGTGTGTGTGAACGTATTTCAGTTCTCGTAGTACGAAGACCCGAGGTAAATGCTGAATTTCACGGTGTGCGAGTCCCTTTTTCCAGGCGCTTGGCTCATTTAACGGACAAATTAACGAACGTCACGCGTATTGCACACTATGATAATTATAATTATTATCTGCACACATATACGGGACGCGGAGAGGCTTTATTTCGCTTACCAGAGATAACGAGGTGTTCGCGTCGCGTACATGCGCTCGCACGCTGCAGACAGACCGTTGAAAATTTAATAACAAGTAACAATAAAAACGGTTATTTGGACGCCGCGTTATCCCAGGAGGACCCCGGCAATGGCGATAATGGCTGCACAAATGTGCGTCGGTTGCGCGCGTCCGAGTACGGATTATTATTCGCACCGCGTACACCGAGGGGGCGGGTTAAAACGGGTTGTTGCATGATCAGAGACACGGGAGGGTGTTATGCTGATTTTCTCGCGCAATATCAATACCGTCGTCCGACCCCGTTACGTTAATGATGCGCCCATCGTGTATTGCGAATGTCAATCACGTTTGGTCTTGAGACAACAATGTTTATTTCCCAGTTTTAAATCAGCAGAGCTTTTTAACGATTTTTCATCTTTCTCGAACAGCGTTGCTAAGATTAATTAAAATATCATCGATTCGAAACAAATATACTCGAAGAGTATGGAGTCATTTTTGCTATTTTGCGTACACAGAAAAAAATAATGTAAAGTTAATAGCATCAAGTGTAATTGTAAATAATCTTATTAATTCAATAGTAGTATTAATAAAAGAAATATATATATATATATATATTTATTTATTTATTTCATTAATATTATTATTTAATTAATTGAATTATTTTTAATTGCTCTTGATGTTGTTGACTCTACGTCATTTTTTGTACGTTTAGACGATCGCGTGGAAAGAACGATTTTGTTGAAATATCAAAAATGAGCAGATCTGAAAATAATTTCATGGGGCCATCAAAATAATCGTGCTCATTTAAACGTGATAATAATAGTATCAAAATGATACTTTGAGTGACATTTTGATGATATGAAATTGATATTTTAACAACCAATTTGAATATCCTATTTATATTGATAGCTCGAGAAAATTATTTTCCGATCTATATCTGTCCAAATTTTTAGATATTTTAGTAAAACTGTTCTTTCCATGCGGGAACCCGTAAGTATGATATACGAGTTATCATGATTTTTCTCTTCTATGACTTCGCAGTCGAACGTTACCAGACTGCGCGCATATATCCCTTATCGAAAACTGCCTTCGGCAAAATGTCGACGGTTCAAACCAGCAGACGTCGAGAAGCCGCGATCCATGATATTACACAATGCATACGTAATGCGATGGCTTCGATGCGGCTTCGCAAAGTGACGTGTCCACATCCGTCCGCGGCGGATACGCCATCGTCGAAAGCTTGTATCACGAGACATTGTTTGCGGGATTCTGGACGTATTAATGTGACGATAGAATCGGACATGTTCGTGATTCTGATTTACATTCAAAATCGACAATCTACATAAATATTTATTAAATATTATTAAATTAAGGCTCTCTCGAGCAGTCAACTCGGTCCTATGACATCATAAGAAATGACACAGCCAGTAATTTTCTTGCGACGTACAGTTTTATTTTTTAGTTTTAAAAAATAAGAACATAATAGTTTCTTCCTGAAACTTGTAAAATGTGCAAGAAACATTTGTCCAATCTGTCACGGAAGTGTGAAATAATTCTTGAAATAACGAGTTATGTTTCAGCTACTCTACTAAGCGGACGTGACAGCTAATCATGATTGAAGTGAAAGGAATATCGTCATAAAGTTTGCTAAATAACATCGTTTCACTACGATTTGTTCGACAGAACGTAAAGACAATAAAATATAAGAAACATTTTACATCATCGCGATTTTAATAATAACGGACGGTAAATATCGACGTAAGTAAAGAGCGTCTATAATCGAGACGACGTGTTCAACGTAGCACAATTTCGCTAAAATTCTCCTATATTTTTTTTTGATGGCGAAAGCACCTCTCCGAGTTAGAACTCATCCGGCGATGTCCGTAGGGCTGTCGTGAAATGCGTTTCAGAGGTTTGTGCCCGGGGAGAGATTTATTACGGTCCCTTTTGTCGTATGAGCGCCAAAAATGTGTCGTATTTGCAACGCGGAGGTTCTCAAAGGGGATACGTATCAAAGTCGCGTCCATTATTCGAAATGGATATCATCGAGCTCTATCCGTCTGTGCCGTATCCCTCCCCCCACGAACGGTGTGATGCGACACGACGTGCGATTCTCTCCCCTTGATGTTAGCGATTTTCTGCACAGTTTCGGTCGTCGGCTTTTCCGAGGAAGTCGCGCGGTCGACGTTGCCAGCGCGCTTTGATGCGAATGCACGACGCGAAGCTTGACTGTTCCCAAAGTTAGCTGGGCATTAAGCGATGTCATACGGATGCACAATCTACGCAAAAGGGAGGAAACGCGTCGTTTCTCGCGACAGCAGTTTCGAAACTGCATAATGAGAAGTCGCGCTTTGCACGAACATGAACAATTGTCGTGTTAGCGTAAAAAAATTTGAAATAGCTCGCGTGTCGACTGATCGATATCGCGATGATGTAATTCGCGATGATGTTAATTATCGCGAATGTCTTGAAGCGTTCAAAATGCATTTTACGATCTTCCGAGAAAAGTTGGCGTAATTAACGTTGTATTCTTAAGACTTGAATAATCGTCGGGACATCAATCAAATATAGCGGTCGTTTCGTGACAAAAATCAGACCGTAATGGTACTACCGCATTAAGAACTCGTGGAGAACAGTAGTTGGCGAAGTAGTAAAAAATGCACGAATGCGGCAGCTGTTTACCGCAGTGAAACGTTAATCGCGACAATCGTGACGCAGCAACGAAAGGCGAAGATAAAACGAAAATGGAAGGGCCGCGACAGATTCGTCCGAAGTTTGCTTGTCAGCAGTCAGATCGATATTTCCTAGTCGGGAACTTTTCTCAGGACGCAAAGTAGATCGGCTGTCATTCCCGATTTGTGTTCCCTCGACCGATAGAGCTTCTTGCGACACGAACTTCGCGATTACTTTGCGCGGATAGCAGACTGCGCCGACATATATTTCTACGAATCAGTTTAAGAGTATTTGGAGTTTGGTTCCTTCCAGTTCCTCACCACAACTCTTTCTTTTTGTTTGTCTTCAACATCTGACAAGCCCCATCTTATTTGTGTTTCTTATTCCGCGGCATCTCTTTCTTGCGGCCATTTGAATAATACAAGTATTCTTAAACTAAATTAAAAAGTATCAATGTCATATTAGCGCTCCGATATTTTCCGCACGCACGCACACACACACACACACACACACACACACACACACACACACACACACACATATGTGTGTGTGTGTGGT